GGCGTGCTCACAAGGACCCCACTTGGCGTGGGAAAAGCAGGGGGCTAGGTGTCCAATCCCAGTGGTCAAAGCCCGCAGGAGCCCGGGAAGCCCCCGTGAGAGCTCATGCTTGGGGGCGGGGATGGGCCTCCATGTGGCCAGCTCCGTGGGCACATGGGGCTGGGCCCTTACATTTGGTTACCAGAAGCGCCTCGAAAGCCTTGATGCCCTGGGCAGCCTTGTCCCGTGCATCTTCGTTGGCAGGAGGGCCCTGTCAGAAGACAGCGTCACAATGCACACCTCGGTGTGCCACCTGCGGGGCCGCCATGGACTCAGTCCCTGCCCTGAGTCCCCTGCGGCAGCCTGGCCCCAGAGCTGCTGCATCAACGGGCAGGAGGTGGGAGGGCTGCCGGCAGGAACAGGGGGCTGGCACACTAGGCCTCAACACTGCTACCAGCCTGCCACCGTGGCCACCTCCGAAGGACACACCCCAGGGCCTTATCTGCACAGCAGAGGCCGGCTTGTCCCATTCAGGAGTGGGGGCCCTGACTCTGACCACTGGGCCTGGGACTTTTAGGGTGTTGGAAGGTGTTACCCTGAAGAAGCCAGGGAACTCACAGCAGCCCCCGCATATCATAGGATGTGCGCCCCCCCGCCGCCCCCGCCAGGGAGCCAACACCCCTTGCTGACTCACCACTCCCGTCACCCTGTCCTTGAAGTAGGGCTTCATGAAGTGCCCTATGTACAGATTCGGGGGCAGGCTCTTGCCGTCCTTCACCTTGGGGCCTTTGGAGCCTGCCAGATCCCACATGACTCCCTCCTGTGGGGACACAAGGGGCCCCTCTGTGGCAGGCGGCAGTGGCCCTGCTTGTGGAGACGGGGACCCGGGCTGCCAGGGAGCAGGCCCCACCCGAGCCCTGGTCCTGGGAGGCCTGGCCCCGGGGGTTCTCGGGGCCGGACCGCACCCCACCTGCTGCTCCCGGTTCTGTGCCAGCAGCAGGCCGACCTCGGCCAGCTTCTCCTGGATGACTTCCTGGTAGACCATGTTCAGCTGCAGGCAGGTCTCGGGGTCTTCGGGGAGCGTCTTCTCCTTGGCGTCGTCCTCGTCATTGCTGACTTCGCCCCATCTTTCTTCTTCCTGGGTATAGGAGAAATCGCTGATGACGGCGAGGGGGCACACAGACGCTCCCCCGCCCCCTCGCCCTCGTGGCCCGGGTGGGCTGACAAGCCTCTGAGCCCACGTTCTGGCCGCTGAACTGGCGTGAGCGCCGCTGCAAAGCCACGCAGAGTTTAGAACGTGAGGAACTTCAACTTCTAGGAATGTGCTCGGGGAGTGGGAGGCGTGAGGAAATGAGTAATTTCACTTTCCACAGCAAGCGTCTCTGTGAAACTCGAACTGTGTCATGGGCCCGTAAGGCTTCTATCACCGACAGGTGACAGCCCACAGCATAACTAAAAAGTGGAAGTGATCTGAATGTCCATCGGAAGGCAACGCCTCTAAAAAGCTGTGGTCACTCCATGCCAGGGGGACTGCCAGCTGTTATAGACGAGAGATAACTGTACCTAACAACTTAGTAAAAAAAACCAAAGAGCAAGTATAAAAAACTTCCAAAATGACACAAAATTCCAAAACAATCAAAGAACGTAACTGGCATAAATAAGCGATTTCTCGTCAGGCACTGTTCTAGGTTCTCGTATGTGCAAAGTGACTTGGGCTGTGACTGTCTTCACTGTACAGAGGGGTAAAGCGAGACACAGAGAGGTAAGCTGCGAGGGGCGGGGCCCGCGACATGACGCTGAGATAAATGCACGGTAAACGGAGCTCAGAAAAACCAGGACGAACACCAAACTATTAGCAATTGTCATTTCTCGGAATGATTGTAGTTTCGACGATGAATACTTTGTGATCTTTTATCTTAAACAACAAACGCGTTATTTTTAAAATGCGTAACACCAAGACCCCATCCCGGGCCCGCTGGAGGGGTGGCGTGTCTGCCCCCATGGGAACGCCCAGCTCCGGTCAGTAGTTACCGAGATCGGGGGTCCAGCAGTGTCTGAGTCCTCATCGGGCAGCGAATCTGCGGGAATGCAAGCACACCGTGTTGCTGATGGAGACAGAAACGGGCGGCCGGCAGGGGGCCCCGCAGGCCCCAAGGAGACAACCAGCAGGCGCAGCACACGGCCCATATCCTGGGCAGCTGCAGGCGGAGGAGGGGCTAAAAGACCTCGGGGTGAGATGTGCTTTGCTTTCCTCCCCGATGGTGCCCGGCGGCTAAGCACCGCTCACTGACCGGCAGGCGGGTGCTGGACTGAGGGCAGGGTCAGCGGGAAAGAGAAGACCCAGGCCTAACGTGAACTGCCCCCAGGCATGCAGGGACCAGTGCCCCGCCAGGACAATCAGGGGAGGCTTCACGGGGATGGATCCATCCTAGGGGGTGGAGTCAGTCAGAGGGAGGGGTTGGGCCGCAGAGCTAAGCCCAGGGCCAGAGAGGGGTGGGTGGGCCAGGGGCCCTGGATGGCTTGGCCCCTGCAGGCAGGACTCTGGGAAGAGCTGCGGTGAGGGGCACTCAGGCCCCGGGGGGCGGAGAGCAGTGAGCAGGTGGGCAGAATGTGTCCTTCGGCAGCAAGGCCCCAGCAGCACCGCAGTGTAGTATGGCTGGCAGGGGCCGAGGGCAGACATGGCTGTCTGACCATGCCGAGGCGCTGACCTGCGTCAGAATCCGATTCAAGGCTCGAATCCGAGACCTCCACGTTGATACTCGAGGAGCAGGGATCCAAAATCCTTTCCAGCTCCTTGATCTCCTTTGTTATTTTCTCCCTTTCGGCATCTATATCCATGACTTCCGCCTGCCTCCAAAACACGTGACGTTAGAAACCAAAGATGTGCATGAATCCCACTCTCCTGCGGGGGCAGCGGAGCCGGACTGAAGCAGGCGCTGGGCTCCGGACACCTGGCTGGGGAGACTGGACACCCTCCCATGGCCCATGAACGCCCACTCTTGGCTCTCAGGTGCTGAAGCTACTGGAGTGGGTCCTGTTTGCTCTGAGGCTGCAACCAGCAAAGGGGGGAGTGATGGACGCCAGCATGGCCCAACTGCTCACGACCAAGCCATGAGTCAGCTGGTCGCTCAAGGCAGAAAGAGCAGGGGGTGGTGGCAGACACTGGAGGACAAGGACAGGGACCATGTAAAAGCCGAATCCAGGACCACAGCTGGAGGCGCAGCCTGCTGTCCTGCGGCAGTGCTGGACACACAGCAGTCTGGCAAACGTTCAGGGAAATGCAGACCGACCAGGCGGCTGGCACTGACAGCACGGAGAAGAAAGCCCCTGAGGACAGGGCCTGCTATGGGGGCTGGCACATGTGCCAGCACCTGGCGCTGTCTGACACTGAACCAGAGCCTGATGCAAAGCGGGAGCACTAAAAGCGGTAGGAAGCCGGAGAGGGAGAAGACAGGGGACGAGGCATGGGCAGGGGAAATGCCAAAGACACAGCACAGGCCCAAGGGCCAAAACCGAGCAAGAGAAACAGGATCCCCTGCCCTCGGCATGGCCTCTGCTCCGAGACTGACGGGGACGAGGGCAGCCGCCGCTTGGGACAGCCCCCCGCTCCTGCACAAAGCGCCTGGCTTACACCTGAGACGTCTACGGACGGAACTCAGCTGAGAGCCGCGGGCCTGCAGCATCCCGCAGGCGGCGCCCGTCACCGGTCACCACCGTCAACCCCGCACGCTCTCCTGCCAACCCGCCCGGGCCCGGGACACCGCCGCCGCCCTCACCCGCGCCCTCACCTGCCGGCAGCACAGGCAACACCGCCGCCGCCACCGCACCACGCTTCCGGCAGCCGCGCGACTCGGGCGCCGCCGACCGGAAGTCCCGCCTCCGCGGCCACGCTCCAGACGCGGGGCACGCCGGGACTGGCCCCTGGCGGCGCGGCGGGCCGGTGCTGCCCCCGTGCGGCCGGCTTCGGAATGCCCGCGTCCGCGCTCCACCTGGCCGGGCCGCAGGCCGATGCCCGGTAGTGCACGAGCTCCTAGCCCACGCCCGCCGCCGCCCAGCTGCGCTGTGGGGCGGGTTCTCTCCACGGCGGCGCCCCAGGAGGCACCTCGTGTGCTCCTTTCGTCTTCCGTTACTTGTATCGAGGCTTTTGGTTGAGCAACCACTGAGAAAACTGCCACGTGCTTGTTGCTGTCCTGGCCAGCAGGGTCTCGGGCCCACCTCCAGGGCCTGCTGGGTGTCCGCCTCAAGGGGGACAGGGCGGGGGCGAGGGGCTACCCCCACTGCCGAGGCTGAGGCTCAGAGCCTTGGACGGTGAGCAGGACTCCGCTGGAAAGTTGAGAAGGCTCCCTCTGGGGAAGCGCAGAGGCGGGTTTCGAGGTCAATCTGCAGCTGGGGGCCACGGGGGGCCGTGGCCCCCCCCCTCCCCCCCCCGCAGCCTGGGTCGCTGCTGCGAGGACTGGAATGATGAGACCGTGAAGCACTTCGTCCTTCCCATGCTTTCTGAGCAGCTCCAGAATCCAGAGGCAGACGCGACAACAGATTTGTTAGCGTGACTTGTATTTTCAATTTGTTTACTAGGGAACACTTCAAACTATACAGAGAACAGTGTAATAAAGCCTGTGTCCATCCCCCTTTGCTTCATCTAGAGCCTCCTTGCCCCCCAGCCCTTTTTCAGCTACAGCAGTTGGAGGGGGCTTTAGCACAGGGTCAGGGGTCAGCGAAACATTTGAGAGGTGCTCTGGGTGGCCGCCCAGCTTTGGGCCTGGCCTGGCTTGTGGGCAGGTGGGTGAAAGGGACACCAGGCTGGTGATCTGCTTCATCTTGCCCAACCCCTGTAAAATGCTGTGTCCCTCACGCAGGGCTGCAGCCCCAGGCATCCTCCCAGCAGCCTTCCCAGAGTCAGAGGGAGGGGACAGCTGGGCCCAGAGCTATTGCGTGTACACCCGGAAGAGAACCTCATCCGAGCACAGACCGCCCTCTGAAGTCAGCTCTACAACAGAACCCACTTCTCACCGACCTGCAGGAGCACGAGGTGGGCGGGGCGAGCGAAAGATTTCCACCTCTGGAAGGCTCTCCCCTGCAGCTCAGGTGAGAGTCCACAATCTAAACATCTTTTGAAAATTCAACCACATGATCTCCCAGAATGTTCTAATGCGAGAATCCAACCTGTCCAACCCTAAACATGCACTGCGGTCAGGCCGGGGCAGCAGTGGTCTGAGCTACCCTCGACTGCACAGGCAGAGCTGACGCTGCACTGCCAGCACAGGCCACCCGTTGTGACAGGGACAAGGTGTACGTCCTGGCGTCAGAGGACAGTCGCACGATTCCCAAGCATGAACTGGCTACGTCAGACAAAAAGGGGCGTGCATGTGAATTTTAGAATTTATTAAATAAGAAAACTGTCAATGTGAACAAGAAGGAAAATTTATCTTAAAAAATAACATCTACAGGAAAATAACCAAAAAGGCACAGTGTGTACCAGGCCTCCCCACGTTATAAAGCGCTTGGAAAGGTGGCCTGGGAGACTGGGAGCTAACCTGGCTGGCTCGGCGCCTCCCATTCCCGAATCCCAAACTTCATCGTACAGAAGGCCACTTGAAAAGCGTGCCTGAAACCTTCCAGCTGAAGCAGGTTTCAGATCTGAAGGCCCCAGCACAGGTGCACGGAGACGGCGTCACAGTGCGGAGCCCGTGCTGGCTGGTCCCTATGGGAGGACCGCAGCGTCTGATGCGTGGGGCGTCCATGCTCAGGCCGCCCACCGCAGGAGCCACCTGTTAAGGCCGCAGGAGTGGACCGTGAGCCAGAGGGAGCACTGAGCGATGACGAAAAGGCACAAGTCCCTGTCCAAGGCAACCATTTGAATTCTAGCTTATTTAGTGTTTTTCTCAATTTATGAAATAAAGACTGATCAACTGAACTTATCGTACAATGAATGTTCTGGAATAAGAATGGAAACCACGCATCACAGATCTGCTGTTTCCACGTTCAGTAACTTAAAAACTCGGTGGTTTTTATAAAAACGTCTTCCAAGACAGCATTAGTCTGCGGGACGGCGGGGGTGCACCACAGGGCTGCGCTGGCCCCCAGGTGCGACCCTTGCGCGTGGGAGCCACTCCTCGGGGCTGGCTAATAATACTGTTCGGGGTCATGAAATTAGCATCTCATGATAAATATCTTTACTGTGGGTGAAGACTGCATATTTAAGACACAATGGCATCTAAAATCCAGTGAGTAGTGACTGCGGAACGTCGGTGCTGTGAGCTGGAAGCTCCGGGCGGTCCTCAAGCCTCCTCCTGGTCTTTAATTTCAGAAATTCTGTCTATAGATTTAAGGATTTCAGCAACGAGATTCAACGTTTCCGCTCCAGACACCAACTGCCTGCAACGAAGGTACGGATATCACAGACGGCCGCCAGAACCGCAACAGGGCACAGAGGCCCCCGGGCCCAGAAGCAGCGGCGGAGCACAGGTATCTGGGACGTCAGCCCCCTCTGCAGAGCCTCTGTCCTCACCGTAAGCGACGGGCACCTCCCTAACTCAGTGCCCATGTTGGGGACACTGCAGCCCCTGCAGCACTCAGCCAGGAGACACGTGGTGACATCGCCCAGGGGCTCTTACTGTGCCAGGGGCCCTGAGAAATTACTTGTAGGTGGAAGAGTGGGACTCAGGCCTGTCTGATGCCAGCGCCCCGGCCTCCCGGCTCAGAATGGCTAATACCCGCCGGCAGGGGAAGCGCCTGCGGGTCCGGCATGCAGCGTGTGACCTCAGGGTGACAGCACTGGCAAGGGGAGCCCCCGCTTGGAGCTCCGCCACTGTGGTGCTAGGTGGTAACACAAGGGAGGCCCCGCGCCCCGCCGGCCGCTCACTTTATTGAGCTGTGCGCGCTGTTCATGACCATGCGGAGGTTCTGCAGGGCCACCTCCGTGTTCTGCTTGACCACCGTCAGGCTGGCGCCCTGGCCGCAGCGCAGGGCCTCGTTCTCGCGCTTGAAAGTGGAGACCTGTGCCTGGGGTCGGGAGGGGTGGCCTGTGAGGGTTTCGATGGTGACCGGGGAGTGTCCAAAAGGCAGTCCAAACAAAGCCAAACACGGCCCCTCGGCAGAGGTGACTGAGGGACGGGGCCCGGCCCCCACGACAATGGAGGCTCGCCCCTAACCCGGGCTCCTAACGCCACCCCCTTCACTTCAGTTTGTCCTCAGCTCTAACCCCCGGGGGTGAGAAACTCGCGCAGGTACACACGCCACCCAGGCAGCCCGGTGACAGCCGCAGCCCTCTGCGGCTGGCCCAGGGGGACAGCCGTGGCCTCCGTCTGGCCCGAGAGGGGCGTGCATGGCCCTTATCTAGGTGACTCGTCCGTCAGAGAGGGAGGACCCAGCAGAGGTCCCTTTGCGTCTTTTCCAGAAGTCACTCAAATTCACAAGTGAAAACCTGAGGCCTAATTACCTGAAGCAAGCTCATTTCTTGTTTGAGTTTCATGACGTGATTTTCTGCCTTTACAGCCCGTTTCTGTTACCGAGAAAAAGGCATCGCTGACATGGTGGCGTGGACACAGGACACATCACCTCCGTCCTGGCCCCCCTGCACGCGCCATTGGCCCCCGGCCAGCTCCGGCCAGCAGGCAGAGCCCTCCCACAGTGAGAGCCACTCTGATGGGCCCATCTCACAGCTGTGCCCACCAGGCAGGGCTCGGGGCCACCGCGGTGACACAGCCCGACACTCGCCCGCGTCGCGCCCACCCCGCCCGCCCCACCGTACGGTCATCAGCTCCAGGTTCTGCTCCGCCTGCTGCACCACCGACTCCAGGTCGTGGTAGTCGCTCTCCTCCTTCAGCATCTTCGCTTCCAGTTTCCGCTCCAGCGTCCTGACCCTTGTCAAAGGACAAACCACACCACCCTCAGTCACAAACTGAGTCTCAGCCAGCTCTGAGAGGCGTTCGCTGGGCCGATCGGATGAAGACCAGCGGCGTGCACTGTTCTAGAATGAACCCGTGCCAGGGAGGCAGGGACCTCGGCGGGATGCCGGGCAGCACCCCACACCGGCTCGAGGGGCGTCTGCCGACTCCGCCACCATCACGGTGGTAGATCTGGGACAATGTTTTGGGTGCACTGACAGCAGACCAGGCACCAAGGCCGGGGCCGGATGTACACATGACAGAACCAGACTCGACCCAGCTGGGCGCTGCGTCCCGTTTCGGAACCGACCTGCACGTCAGGTGATCTAACTGTAGCCCCGACGGAAAGCTTACATTTCTGTTTGCGTCTCCGAGAAGCTCTGGACCTCAGTCAGCTTTCTCCTCAGCTTAGAGTTCTCATCTTTCAGCTGTAGAGAAGGAAAACCTTATCAGACACAGCGCGTCTCACTCCAGAGGGGTCTGCTCCTCCGCGGCCCGACCCTGGACCTTCTGGATCAACAGAAACGTTCTAGGGTCAAGCCGCCGTCCACTCGGAGAAAAACCATAAGCGAAGGGCCAATGGCCACACATTCCCGTTTTGCCCATGTAACTCTTTCTGGGGGACTGTGATTTTTTTTTTTAACTTTCTCTACGCAGAACGCTTAGCGAGATGGCCCTGAGTGACAGCCGAGCGGACTCTTCCCTGCGGGGCAGCCCTCTGAGGGCCTCCACTTCATTCCAGTTCATTCCGAGATGGGCCGTACCTCCCAGCCCTTCGGAGCGCTGTTCAGCGAGCTACATTCACATGCAACCGGTGAACGCAGGGCAGAGCGCTCTGCTCAGCCCCCACACGGGCTGCTGCGCCAACTCTCTGGTTCCTGGAGCCGAGCCCCAGGTCACCAAGCGTCCCAGGAGGCTCCAGATTTCCTCCCAGGACGCTGCTCAGACACAGGCCATTTACCAGGGCGCTGACGACAGCCCCGTCACTTACTGCTTCGTAACTTATCTGCAGCGTCCGAAGGTGCCTGTCCCCCAGAGACTCTCCGTGGGCTGCAAAGTCAGCGCTGGGGCTGCCCGCCGCAGAGACGCGCGAGTCAGAGTCACTCAGTGTCCACGGCGGCAGCGACTCAGGCCCCACCAGCTCTGACGGGCTGGAGAAGAAGGAGATGTAGGTGCTGCAGGGTGACGTGCTGGCGGCCACCCTCGACGAGTGCGTCTGCTCCACAGCGGACGGCAGGTAGGCCCCATTCCACCCGTCGTCCTCGTCCTCATCCTCGTCCAGGAGGTCGCCAGCCCCCGTCGGGTCTTCGAAAAACGGCTGCTGGTATTCCAGGCCGAACCCCGCGGTCTGGGAGGTTGGGGAGCTGCAGTTGAGCCCCAGCGAGTGCCTTGTGGCTTCCTAGGGGGAACGTGGGAAGCAAGGCTCGGACGCGCGGCGCAGGGCCACTCTGGAACGGAAAGGCCCCGCCCTGTCTGCCCCAGGAGGGGAGAGCGGAGGGGCCGCAGGGCGAACCCACTCCTCTCCCCACTGGCGCCAGCACTGCCTTGCTCTCCCACACCTCCTGCACCCCCTCTGAGCTCTGAGAATCAGGACACGTGCCGGGGGGGGCGGTTCTATCTGAAGTCTCAGTAAACAACTCTTTGTTTACCTTTGAGTAAAGTCTGTTGGCCGTGTCGTCTTTCGACAGGCTGAGGTTCTTGGTTTTCAGAAACTCTTTAAAGGAGAATGGGTTTGCCTCTTCAAGTTCTTCAAGTTTATCATCTGAGATAATAACAGACACCGCAAACGTCAGGTCGCTTGGAGGTTAACGGAGGACTTCCCTATGCGTTTCTCATTCCGGGATAACACAACGTCCAGAATCGGGAACACACCATGGTCATTCTGCCAGAACTCAGTGACGCTAGGAAATGAGAAAGCTGGCCAAGCACACAGATCTGCTTCCTCCTCCTTCCCATGCTACGCCCCTTGGTTCCCACAGGGACCACCTGGGCAGGCCCGTGCACTCCCGCACAGGCAGCTAGTTGGCCAGGGGCGGGCCCTGCGCTGGGGGCTGTCAGCACCAAGGCCCCACCACGCTGCGGTCGCTGGCCGCCTCCATCGTCTCCTACTCAGCCAGCCACCCTCTCCTTCTCCTCCCCCCCCCACTTCCTTCCTGCTCTCCCACTGCCCACCCAGCCACACTGCAAGCCTTTCGGTCCACCAACCATCCGAGCCCAGGTGCCAGCCTGTGTCGAGGTGGCTCCCCCAACTGCAGCCTTTGCCGTCTCCCCAGACCCCGTAGGAGTGACTTCCCGCCTCCCTGCTGTCCCTCGCATCTCGCGTTGCACCCTGTCCTTCGACTCCAGGGCCAACACTGAATCCGTGGGTTCCACCCCCACCTACTGCCGGGCTCCAGGTACACTAGGTACGTGCCGTCAGACCGACAACCCCGCCAGCGGGCATGTGCCTGGCACTGTGTTGGAAGG